AAATTGTTCCCGCTGATTACAACGGATGTGAGGGGTGCTAATACATTCCCCTCGCATAATCAACTCCTAAACACGAATTTGGTTGCGACGACCATTTTCTTTTTCTTTTAAGGGTTCTATCGATATTTTCCATTTTCTTATAGATAAATAAAGTTCGGTGGTGACTCTGTTATCATCTCGAGCGTACGAATTCTATAGGTTATTTTTTGTGTCGCGGTAGGGTCTGTGGTGTTCATCAAAAGTCTTTATGCGAAAAAGAAGTCCAGGGTAGCTGCATCTGCTTATCACATCGGCCTCATTCCATTACTGTGTTAGCGAAGTCTTCTAGAGACTAATCGTATGCCACAATTCTTGTTGATCGACCTTCTACTACTACAACCTCTATGTTTGACCATGTGATGTTATCTTCCAATTCTAAAAAAGATGACAGATAGAGCAAGCAATTGCATGATTGTCCTCATTCTACAACTAGTGATTAGGATAAGAAGGGCCAAAATAATGGCCCGACTAAGCAAGAGGGAACTAGAAAATGGGTAAGGTCTTTCTGCTTTAGTATTTTTCGGATTTCTCTCATGGATTCTAATGTGGTGCTCCTTAAGTTTCCAACAACTCATTCTTATAGGGTGCCTTGGACCTCTCAAGAGGCGGGGGCTTGTTTTTATGAACAAGATGTCTCATATGTCTAGGGCCTTTATGATATCGACAAGATGTAGTTGATGGTCGAGACATCTTATCATTTATTTCGTGGTGCTTCTTTGATGACCATGGTGACTACTGGCCAAGATGAAGTATTTTCCCATGGAAATTTGTTTAAGGGGAAGAAGCAGTGGAACCGCAAGTTTGAGGCGTCCATTTTGAAGGGACCTCCCTCGAGGAAAAGTGGTATAATTCCAAGAAGAGCTTGATCAAAGAAGCCGGAAGTTGGGAAAAGGAGGCTAAGAAGTTATACGGTTTTAAGAAAGAAGTGTATATCCATTACACTTCATTTGACTCAGTGATTATGATTGTCCACTTACACGGGACCTTGGCTGAGAAAGAAAAGGCTTTGAAGGAAACCCATACTTTTGCTAAGGATTTGTCCTTTCAAGTTCCTTTTGAGAAGCTTTGGATAAGGAGAAGGATCTCTCTAGGGGTTAGAGAAAAAGTATGATGGCATTATTAATTAGGGCCTTCAAGTCGCTTTTGATGCTTTCCACATGGCCATTGAGAAAATCAAGCTCCTTTGTACGAGGATTGAAATTCCTTTGGAGAAAATGGGTGTGAGTAAAAATATCGTCGATGGGGATATTGTAAAAGATAGCAATGAAGTGGCCAAAGACGACAAAGAAGATGAAGAGAAGCTCAAAGAGAATGGTGGAGAAACATAATATTTTAGAACCTTTTAATCAAGTGATATTTTGGATCATCGAGGCATTTGTAATTTGATTTCAAACAATGTTTTCATTTAATCTTGCTTCGACCCTTAATTTGGTTTGTCGAATTGTCTTCTTTTAATCCATGCTTTATCATTGTCTAAAATCTAATTCTCTTGTTTTGCTTTGGCTTTGATGCTTTACTCTCTTGCGATTGTGTTTCATCATTATAATCACATAAAATTTTGTTTATCGCTTGGGACCGATGTTATCTTTAACATTGGAAAAAAGCGTACACAACCAAAGGTCAGATCCTCCTGCCTGCCCCGAGGTCTAGGCCTAGTTTAGGGATTACTTTTTGAAAAAAATTTAACACTTAGCTATAAAGTCGTTTGGGTTTTACTTCATTCTATGTTCTAGGAATTATAACTCTAGGCAACTTCTTTAAAGTATAAGATTTTTTCTCTATCCTAGTCTTGACCTTGTATGATCCTTCCCAACTGGCTGCTAGTTTGTCGTCTCTGACGTTTTCTTCTCAGCATCGACACATCTTAACACTAGGTCTTCTGGTTTGAATTCTCGAGGTCGCACATCCCTGTTGTACTTGGTTGTTACTGCTTGTTTGACGACAACGCTCATGAGGGTGGAGGTGGCCCATTTTAATTCCAAAAGATTAACTTATTATTTAATTTCTTTGGAATTATCTTCTTTCACCAAGTGGCATGCCTTTCTCCAACTAATATCCTTTATCTTAACCGGGTTGGCGACTTCAATCCCACAGGTCAATCGAAAGAGAGTTTTACCGGTGGTTGAATGAGGTTGAAATGGTAGTCGTTATCACTTTCATTTTGATGTTTTGTTTAAATTTGATCTGCGTGTAACTTAATTTATATCTATTTGTAGTTTGTGTGTAATTTTGATATTTCAATTATTCGATTAGATTTGTACCTTTTAGTCACACCATACATTCAATAAATTATACTTGGACTCATAATAATGTGTTTTTTGGCCTAATTAAATTGGTCAAAGTCAACATGTTGAATGTATATTGTGTTGGCCATGTGACTCCATACACAGAGATATGAGGTGAATTGTAAAGGTTTGAAAAACGTTGATTTAAAACAAAATCATTTTTATTTTTATTTAATGAGTTAAAAAGCATAATAATTATTTCATTTAAAACATAGGGTAAAGATATGCTAGTGACAAGTAAATTGCTTTTAAATCATTAATAAAATCAAATTTGATTTACATTAAAAATGTGAGGGAAAGAGACAACTCTCTTTTGAGAACTTCTTTTTTCACCTTTTAAATTTTTCAAAAATTCCATTTAAATTCTAAAATTCGAAAAATATGCTTTGGATTATAATTGACACTTTTACACCTTAGATGGTTGGATGAACAATACCCTTTTAACAAAGAAAATGAAATTGTAAAAGTAAAGTCAATGTTCTGAAAAACTTCATCATCTAATTGTATTTGAAGCAAGGACCATGACTCTTCACCCCATCTAAGTAAATCTCTAATAGCACGAAAACCACAATTTACAACTACCTTCATATCTACATTATCCTTAATATAGTCATGCAAGAAAATAGGAAACTAAGATAAGTATATGTGTTTTGAAGACTTGCTAGTAGGTTGACTTGCGTGAGCTTTACTAGATAATATTTTAGACATTTAACTTCCCTATAAGGCATTAACATGCTTTAATGTGAGTGATCACAATGCACATCACCCTCCTGCCCCTTTTCCCTCTTTTTGGCTTCTTTTTTAGGCCTGAGCTTCACGGGTGGCAGACATATAGAAGTTAAACATGAATATGAAATTTCACACACATTTTTCTTCAAAATCCTATGAGAAACTATATCTAAGGTATTGAAATACTTCTTCAATTCTTCACACTCATTGTTTAAGTCTAACTGTGTCCACTTCATTCTTTAAAGATTTCACACCCTTCAATATGAAATTTCCTAAAAGCACATGAATGGATTCTAATGGAGCATGATCATCATGCACTTGGAAATTTACAATTTCACATGCAGAAGGTAATCCACATGTTATCTTAACAAAGCATCCACATGCACCTTGTCACCCGACTCTTTCCACTTGTTGAAACTATTTTGCAATGTGTTATTTACAATGTCTTAAGACAAAGCCACACAATCTCAAATAAAAAGGAGTGTTATGTCGATGTTAAATGTTTATAGTAATTTTTTGAATTGATATTTTAATTGCACCTTGTCGCAGTTTCAACACGATGTTGACTACATCCCAGCTTCTATACAAATATCATTATATAGAATCAAACATCTTTGTGAGTCTCCAATGGTCATACTCAAACCCTATAATTAGTCCAGAAAGGAGGTTTAAAATTATTTTATTTTTATTTAGGGCTTTAAAAATATTGTGTGTGAATGTGTGTGTGCAACGTGCTTACGTGTGTTTGTGGGAGGGGGGAAGTAACTCTCATTTGAAGATTATAATTGACACTCATACACCTTGGATGATTGGAGGAAAAATACCATTTTAATAGAGAAAGTAAAATTGTAAAACTAAAATAAATGTTGTAAAAGACTTCACCATCTAATTGCCTTCGAACCAAGGAACACGACTCTTCACCCCATCCAAGTAAATCTCCAATAGCATGAAAACTATAATTTTCAACTGCCTTCATATACAATATATTCAATATAATCATGCAAGTAAATAGGAAACTAATACAAATATGTGTTTTGAAGACTTTCTAGTAGGTTGACTTGAACGAGCTTTACTAGATAATCTTTTGGACGTTTGACTTTTCTATAAGGCATTAACATGCTTCAATATGAAGGATCACAATGCATATTACCCTCTTACCCCATTTTCCTCTTTTGCCTCATTTTTTAGGCTTGAACTTCACGAGTGAAAGATACATAGAAGTTAAACATGAATATCTAAGTTCACACATATTCTTCTCCAGACCCTTATAAATGACTATATCTAAAGTACTGAAATGTTTTTTCAATTCTCCACATTCTTCGTTTAAGTTCAGTTGTGTCCCACTTCCTTCTTCAAAAATTTCATACTCTTTGATATGAAATTTCCTTAAAAATACATGGATGGATTCTATGATAGACTACATGTTAAATTTAAACTTTGATATTTTTAACAAGCTTGACTTAAGTCTGACAAAACCTAACACGATCTAATATATTCTCGCTCTTAGTTATAACTATCAGATTATTTTATCTGACTTTTTGAGAGTATATATATATTTTTTAAATATAAAATTGAAAAGATGTAAATTACGAGATATGCATTATTGTTATTTTAAAATTATATAGAGGTCCCAAATATAATATGAGGGGTGCCCGGTGTAATCCTCACCTCCTTTACAAAGTAAATAGGTAGCCCATACAAAAATAATACTGGGGTTCTACAAAAAAGCCCAATTTAAAATAGGAAGAAAAAAATAAAAATAAAAAATAGCGATCCGATTTCGAGGAGTGTCTTAAATCTGAAATCATTTGTTTCTTCTATCTTCATACTCCACACTGAGATCTGCATCTGAAACTCTCTTTCTATCTCCCAAAATTCACACACTTTCTCTATAGTTTTCTGCAATTCCAATTTGCGTGAGTTCGGATCAGATCTGAAACCCTAACAATGGAGAAATCATGCAGTCTGGTAGTGCATTTCGACAAAGGCACACCGGCGCTAGCAACTGAGATCAAAGAAGCTCTTGAAGGAAACGACATCACATCGAAGATCGATGCACTCAAGAAAGCAATCATGCTTCTCCTCAACGGTGAAACCATTCCTCAGCTCTTTATCACCGTCATCCGTTACGTTCTCACTTGTGATGATCACACCGTTCAGAAACTCCTCCTTCTGTATCTTGAAATCACCGACAAAACCGATTCGCGCGGTAAAGTTCTCCCTGAGATGATCCTCATTTGTCAAAATCTCCGTAACAATCTTCAATCCCCTAACGAATTCATTCGCGGTGTTACTCTTCGGTTCCTTTGCCGTATCAATGAATCCGAGATCGTTGAACCGTTGATCCCTTCGATTCTGTCAAATCTCGAGCACCGTCATCCTTTTGTTCGCCGGAATGCTGTTCTTGCTGTTATGTCTGTTTACAAACTTCCTCAGGGGGAGCAGTTACTTGACAGTGCGCCGGAAATCGTTGAGAAGTTTCTCGCATCTGAACAGGATCCATCCAGTAAGCGTAATGCTTTTCTTATGCTGTTTTCTTGTTCTCAGGATCGTGCTGTCAATTATCTTTTTTCGAATATAGATAGGATAATTGATTGGGGTGAACAGCTTCAGATGATTGTTTTGGAATTGATTAAGAAAGTTTGTAGGAATAATAAGGGTGAAAAGGGAAAGTATATTAAGATTATTATATCTTTGTTGAGTGCAAATTCTACTGCTGTTGTTTATGAATGTGCTGGTACGCTCGTTTCACTTAGTTCTGCACCTACTGCAATTAAAGCCGCTGCTAGCACTTATTGTCAGTTATTGCTTTCTCAGAGTGATAACAATGTGAAACTTATTGTGCTTGATCGTCTTAATGAGCTTAAGAGCTCCAATAGGGAAATTATGGTTGATATGGTTATGGATGTGCTTAGGGCGCTTGGGACTCCTAATCATGATATTAGGAGGAAGACTATTGATATTGCTCTTGAGCTTATAACTCCTAAGAACATTGATCAGGTTGTTATGATGCTTAAGAAGGAAGTTGTGAAAACACAGAATGGGGAGCAAGAGAAGAACGGAGAGTATAGGCAGATGTTGGTGCAGGCTATTCATACTTGTGCTATTAAGTTTCCGGAGGTGGCTAGCACTGTTGTGCATCTGTTGATGGATTTCTTGGGGGATACCAATGTTGCTTCTGCTATGGATGTGGTTGTTTTCGTGAGGGAGATTATTGAGACTAACCCGAGGTTGCGTGTTTCTATAATCACTAGGCTTTTGGACACTTTCTATCAAATCCGTGCTGCGAGGGTTTGTTCCTGTGCTCTGTGGATAATTGGGGAGTATTGTTTGTCTCTTTCGGAGGTTGAGAGTGGAATTGCAACCATTAAACAGTGTCTTGGTGACCTCCCCTTTTACACCATCTCCGAGGATGGAGAAGGTCAGGAGACATCAAAAGCTGTGCAGCAGGTGAACTCAACCACCGTGTCTTCTAGGAGGCCTGCAATTCTCGCAGATGGGACCTATGCTACCCAGAGTGCTGCTCTTGAGACTGCCATGTCACCGCCTACCCTTGTTCAAGGCTCGCTGTCTTCTATTGGGAACTTGAGATCTCTAATTCTTTCAGGTGATTTCTTCCTTGGGGCAGTTGTCGCATGTACACTGACAAAGCTTATCCTAAGGTTGGAAGAGGTTCAGGCCTCAAAAGTTGAAGTTAACAAGGCAACTTCACAGACTTTGTTGATCACAGTCTCAATGCTGCAGCTTGGTCAGTCTTCGGTTCTTCCACATCCAATTGATAATGATTCTCATGACAGGATTGTCCTTTGCATGAGATTGCTATGCAATACTGGTGATGAGATAAGGAAGATATGGCTGCAATCTTGCAGGCAGAGCTTTGTGAAAATGCTTGCTGATAAGCAGCGCCGTGAGACAGAGGAGATTAAAGCAAAGGCTCAAATTTCTAATGCACAGCCTGATGACCTTATTGATTTCTACCATTTGAAGAGCAGAAAGGTATGATGGCTGTGTTTATTTTCTCTTTTTTGTTTTGTTTTGTTGTTAGAATGGTATAGTTGAATCATTGTTTTGTTAGATTCCGTGAAGTTTTCATCATTGCTAATGATTGAACCTTTTATGTTGGTGCATTTATACCAATATTGTCAAGTAGTCTATTGAGTTGGGTGTTCTTTCTGTTGGTGGTAGTTTCTGTTAATGATTTCTGATTCAGTTATGTGCTCGGTACACCTGCTCATCTGGTTTTTCTTCAAATGTTCAATTTCTTCAGGGCATGAGCCAACTTGAGCTGGAAGATGAGGTTCAGGATGATCTCAAACGTGCTACTGGAGAGTTTACAAAGGATGCAGATGATGCAAATAAACTCAACCGCATTCTTCAGCTCACTGGATTCAGTGATCCTGTTTATGCTGAAGCATATGTCACAGTTCATCATTATGACATTGTCCTAGATGTTACCGTCATCAACCGAACCAAGGAAACTCTCCAGAATTTATGTTTGGAGTTAGCAACTATGGGTGATCTCAAACTTGTTGAGCGTCCACAAAACTATACCTTGGCTCCAGAATCAAGCAAACAAATTAAAGCCAACATCAAGGTTTCTTCAACTGAAACTGGAGTTATATTCGGTAACATAGTTTATGAAACATCATCGAATGTTCTTGAGAGAACAGTTATTGTTCTTAATGATATCCATATTGATATCATGGACTATATTGCTCCTGCATCTTGTGCTGATGTGGCCTTTAGAACTATGTGGGCTGAGTTTGAGTGGGAAAACAAGGTAAATCAATCTCACTCCTCTTTCTCTCATTTGGTGTTTTTTCCTCTTTCTCTCATTTGGTGTTTTTTAAAAATCAATGGTTCAAAACAGTTATGGTTTTACCTTTTATAGCTCACCCCTCTTTTCATTTTTAAAAACAGTGTGATAAACAACTTCTAGGTAGTTAGGATTCATGATTTTCTCTATTATTGGGCTGTTGCCCCTTGTGTTATTATTAAATTTTAAATATCTGCTCTTATAGTTATGTTGTTTGATTTTATTCCTGACATCATTATGTCTGCAATATATGCTTTGATGATCATTGATATAATTTTATTTTTACATTGAAGTTGGTGTATCTTTTATCCTGTCAATGAACCCGAAAAGTAACAAGCTGAGTATATATATGTTTTTGTCTGTTGAGTAAATTGACATCTGTAACTGTGATGTGTGTTTCCTGTAAATATGATTTATCCCAAGAGGCGATAAAAATAAATGAGGTAATTTATATGCTGCTGCTCCTACTTCTCTACATCTCTATTTGAGTGTGAATTTCATTGAGTTAGGAATCAGATACTGACTCTTGTATTTGTCTTTCGCTTACTATATTTGTTGTTATGTGTGATGCTTCTATTTGGGTCAATCTGACAGGCTTATTGATGTTGATATATTTTTTTTAATTAGATACCCCGATGCTTTTGGCTAGGTACAATAGTGTGTTAGAATATCACATATTTTTTATTAAATGTATACTTGTACATGCAAAATATACTAGCTGCTCATAATCTTCCTAAATGGAGGAGGAAAATCACCCCTAGGCCTCTGTAATGAATTCACATGAAGTTTCAGGATCTGCTCTTAAAGTTTGTTGCCAGAAGGAAGCTAAAAATGGGGAGGTTTCTCTTTACTGTTGCATTGACACAATTTGGGCCTGTCTTGATGTGAACGGGAAACTGTTTATGGCCGTACCAGAATCAGAGATATGCAATTCATAAAAAAGAATTATTGGACCAAAGTTTAGAGTTACTCATTCCTCACTCCAATCAGTTTCCTGATTAGACTAGGGTCAAACTCACATCATAAACGTTATTCTATTAGATTAGAAGTATATAGTTGTAATACAGGTAATGCTAAAATTAGCCATCATCAAGGAGCATGAATGCGATGGGAATATAGCTCAGAACATGTGTTTCTGCATTAACTAGATGTTGTTTATATGATTATTTTACTGACTTTATGTTATGTTATAGGTTGCTGTAAATACAGTATTACAAGATGAGAGGGAGTTTCTGGGCCACATTATCAAGTCTACAAATATGAAGTGCCTAACTCCGCCGTGAGTTTCTTTAACTTGCATATGTTTCATGGCTGCTATCTTGTGTGTGCTTGAGTATCTACTACCAGGAATCTGTGTTTTGAAGCAAAAATGTTTTTCAGTTAAAAAACTTGCCTGAAAAAAGTATTATAACTAATTGTTGGAGTCATTAATATTTCTACATTTCATGCAATTGCCATGTCTTGATTTGGCTGGGGGATCTGGGCAATTTGATTAATTTGGTTTTTGCTGTCTCTGTTTCAGGTCTGCATTGGAAGGAGAGTGTGGTTTCCTAGCTGCAAACCTTTATGCTAAGAGTGTTTTTGGTGAAGATGCATTGGTGAATGTGAGCATTGAAAAGCAAGGAGATGGTAAATTGAGTGGATACATCAGAATAAGAAGTAAAACTCAGGGAATTGCTCTGAGTCTTGGGGATAAAATCACTTTGAAACAGAAGGGATCCGCTTAATATAAGTAATTGCCCCAATTTTCTCATGCTTCTTCTCGGCTTGTATGTCTTGTCAACTACTTGTGTAGATTTGGGTGGCAGCCATAACTTAAAGCTTGGTGTTATTAGTTTGCTTCAAATTATCGTGGCTTTTGGTGGCAGCCAACTCATTAGTATTAATTTTTCTCTTTCAAATTCCATTTTTGTTTGTATTCTTTTCCTTGGATATTTACTCAACAAAAATCCTTACTGCCTATATTTTATTTTTCTACACATGGGATTGAATTGGACACCGTAAATTGATATCATAATCTCAAATAGATGACTGTTTGTTCTGGTTGTTCCTATGTTCTAACGGCCTTGGTTGATTTGTTCTGGTTGTTCCTATGTTCTAATATCGTCCTTGGTTGGATAATGAACCTTAATAATGATGTTAGTTATTGTGTGAATGATTAGTATTATAATCAATTTTTATGATTTCTTTTCAGTTTTCACATTCGGAGCTCATTTCTAAGAAAAATAAATCAGTGTTAAAAAACATTACAACATACAAATATTTCTCGCTTTCTCATTGTGTCATTGTGCGTTTCAAAAAATTTTCTTCATGAAATTGTTTTATAAGGAACGAAGATAATCCTGTGGACATGACCAATTTTTAAAAAAGTAAATAATAAACAAGCTGTAAAAGTCTTTGGAAGCAGTTCAGTAGTAAAAAAAAGGAATATGTGAAATCAAATAATTTATATACAAATCACCATTTCTTTGGAAGCAGTTCTGTAGTAAAAAAAGTAATATGTGAAATCAAATAATTTATATACAAGTCACCATTTCTTTACTTTCATAGTAGAACTAATGAACAACTTTTAAATATTCTATGCTGTTATTTTCCTGCCAACTTTCGCTTTGAAATTTCTCACGAAAGCACCCCAATAAAATATAACATTAATGAGAAAATGCGATGCATTTGGTTGGGTGATTGATGAGGTAATTGAAACAAGGTTATCATGTCTTGAATTTCAAATCAAACAAGAAAGCCAGGACAAAATAATGGATAAATAAATTAACATTCAAGGAAGTTCTACTGCTTTTTGGTTGAGTTTCTGACATGTTTCTTTTGCAAGTGAAGTTAACTCATCTTTTCCTTTTACTTCATTTGATTTGTTGAGTTTGGTGAAAGAAAGTAGATGGTTAGATTAACAAGAAACCAACAAAAACATCGTGTTGAAATCTAATCATTTCTCAATACAATCTCAAAATCCAAACTAGTAATCATTTTCAAAAACAAACACTTCATTTCCAATCTTAAATATGGAAAACAAAGAAAACATTGAAGCTGCCACAAAGTTCTTAACTTCTAGCTTACAAACATCCAAAGCTATTTCTTCTGCATTAGATGAGTCTAGTTCAAGATTGGAGCTTCTTGATCAAAGATTTTTATCCATGCAAGCTTCACTTAAACTCATCTCAATTCAAAATCTACCCTTTTCTGATGTTGAACATGGTATAGACAGTGTTCTATGTTCAGTTTCAGCAGTTCACAGCGTGTTTGAATGTGTTACTCAGTTGAAACATTCTCTTTCCACAGACTTGAGTTCCGATTTATTCACATATGTCTCATACACAAAGAAGCTTGAAGAAGCATTGAAGCTTCTCACTGATAATTGTAAGTTAGCATCAGGTTGGTTGAAGAGTGTTTTTGAGTTCTTACAAAACAAAACAACAGTTAGTATCAATGACTCTTACCTTTTGAATCTTAACAAATCGTTGAGAATATTGCAAGAATTGCAGACCATAGAGAACACCGCGCACTTCGATGGAGGAAGTCTTAGTACTGCCCTTGACAAACTAGAGACTGCTTTTCACAAACTTCTAATAGCAAACTGCATGCCTCTTCCTTTGGTTTCATTGGCATCACACATTGATCCGCAAAACAATGATGCAAACCAAGGTATGGAATTTTCAAGTTCTTTAACAAAGAAGTTACAAATTATCGCAGAGAGATTAAATGCAAATAATAGGCTAGACAAGTGTCAAGCTATGTATGTTGAAGTTCGTGGAACAAATGCTCGAAGAAGTTTGAAGACTTTGGATTTGAGCTATCTTGAGTTTTCGACAACTGAGTTTGAGGTTGCACATGGAATGGAGAGTTGCATAGACAAATGGGGAAAACATTTGGAGTTGGTTGTTAAGAAACTTCTTGAGGTTGAATATAAGCTATGTACTATTGTATTTGAGAAAATTGGTTCAAAAGCATGGATGAGTTGTTTTGCAAAAATTGCTATTGAATCAGGAATCCTTTCATTTATCAAATTCGGAAAGACGGTTACTTATAGAAAAAATGACCCTTTCAAGTTGCTGAATCTGTTGTCAATGTTTAAAGTCTTGAATGGTTTAAGACTAAAATTTAACCAACTTTTTAGAGGAGAAGCTTGTGAAGAAATTAGAATTGTGACAAAAGATCTTATTACAAGAGTTGTGAATGGAGTTAATGGAATATTTTGGCAACTTCCTGAACAAGTAAAGTTGCAAAGACCAACTTGTCCTCCTGCAGATGGAAGTGTTCCTAAGTTGGTAAGTTTTGTTACTGATTATTGTGATAAGCTTCTTAGTAATGACTATAATCCACATTTGAATAAGGTTTTGGAAATATACTTTAGTTGGAGAAATGAACTATTTGAAGAGGGTATAGTTTTGAATCAAATATATAGTATAATTAAGGAAGTTGCAGTTAATTTAGATGATTGGTCAAAAGTGTATGAAGATATCAATTTGTCATATATTTTTATGATGAATAATCATTGTCATTTCTATAATTTAAGAGGTACTTTAGTTGGAAATATGATGGGAGATTCTTGGTTAAGTGCACATGAACAATACAAAGAGTACTATGCAGCACTTTATTTGAGGAATAGTTGGGGAAATCTTCAAGATATTCTTGTAGTTTCAACCTCTATGAGTTGTCAAGATTTGGTCAAGAGAATAAGTGCTTTTAATCTAGCTTTTGATGAAAAGTACAAGAAGCAATGTAATTGGATAATCTCTGATGAGGCATTGAGGAAAAGTGTATGCAAACATTTGGTGGAAGGTGTTATACCAATCTATAAGGTTTACTTGAAGAATTATATATTGTATGTTGAAAGTGATGATGTTATGGTTGACAACAAACATGTTAAATATACAGTACAAAGTTTGGAGAATAGGATTTGGTCATTGTTTCAACCCAAAGTGAAGAAGAATCATGACATTAAACAAAAAAATTTGATTAGTAAAATAAAAGAAGTTAGCCATAAGTTTGGTTTGACTTTAACTTAATAGTTGTTTAGTGTCATTTTTCTTGTTGGCAGATAGAATAATAATGTAATGAATGATTACTAATGTTAATATACTTTAAATATTATTCCATAGGTATAATGTTATGTTTCTCATTTGAGATGTTCACAATTTTCATATGTTATGTGTCCTATGTGTCCCAATTGAGATTTGTACATTTAAAAAATATATTATTTACATTAAATTTTAAGAAAATTAATATGTTAAGAATAAAATATGAATTTAACTTATTTATTCTGTTTTATTTTATTGTATATTGCTCTACAATTTTTCTTCTTAAAGGTTAACTTTGTCAATATTTTGTTTTTTTAAGATGGTTGATTTACAACAATCAACAATTATTTTATATATTAATATATTATTTTTAAAATGATATTAATACATTGCTTCTTGTACTTTTCATCAAAACCTAGATTAAAAGCACTTATTAGTATTAATATCATTATTATTATTATTATTAATTTTTATTATTAATTTTTATTATTAATATTATCATTATTATTATTTTTATTAATTTTTATTATTATTAATTATTATTATTATTATTATTATTATTATTATGATTATCATTATTATTATTATTATTATTATTATCATTTTTATTATTAATTATTATTATTATTATCATTTTTATTATTAATTAATTATTATTATTATTATTATTATTGATTTTTATTATTAATTATTATTATTATTATTATCATTTTTATTATTATTATTATTATTTTTTATTATTAGTTATTATCATTTTTATTATTAATTATTATTATCATTATTATTATTATTATTATCATATTTATTATTAATTATTAATTATTATTATTATTATTATTATTATTATTATCATTTTTATTATTATTATTAATTTTTATTATTAATTATTATCGTTTTTATTATTCCTCATTTACGAAAGCTATTCCTCATTTCCTTTGAACCCTAATCCCCATTCGTTCTTTAATTTTCCAAATCAAAACTTCAGGTTAACCTAAATCGTATGAAATCAAAACCCTCATCTTTTTCCTTAATGTCTGCGTCTATTTCATCACTCACCACCACCATTTTCCTCTACCTTTCCATTTCTTGATAACAAATTGTTTATCCGATGAAACTATCTTAATTGCTGTTGGTGCTACTGCTATTTCTGATTCTCTTCAAAACCAACATCTGTGATCTTGTCGAAAACTCTTCCACTTTCAATTGGAACTACGCTATTTTCTGGCAACTTTCTCAATCAAAATCCGGCGATTATGTTCTTGGTTGGGGTGATGGATGTTGCAGAGAACCAAACAAAGAAGAACAACAAGAGAGTGAAGCTTTAACAAGAAATGAAGAACAAGAAAGAGTTGAACAGAATATGAGGAAGAAGGTTTTATAGAAACTACACACAGCTTTTGGTGGTTCTGATGAAGAAAGGGTATGGTGGACCCGGTAAGTGTTTTGATTCTGGTCAAAATTTGTGGTTGAAATCTGTTTCTGATTCCTGTGTTCGTTCTTTCTTGGCTAAATCTGTTGGAATTCAAACTGTTGTTTTACTACCTACTGATTTTGGCGTTCTTGAGTTGGGTTCCGTTAGAATCTTGCCTCAAAGCTTTGAATTGTTGAACAATGTTAAGTCATTGTTTTCACTTTCGAATTCTATCACACAATTGTCATCGTCTGCATCCTTGTTGTTGTATCACATAATTCTAGATGTGATTGAGAGTAAATTTGACTGTAATTCTTTGCATATACCAAGAATCATGATTTTAAATCTTGTATAATTTTTTTGGTTTGCTATGTTTAGGGGTGCAGAGATGTGGAAAGATTTGCAGAATAACTCTTCTGTTTTAAGAGTTGATGATTTTAGAGGTTTAAGAATGAAGAAGGAACACTAGCTCTAGTGGAGGAAGGAGAAGTAGAAAATTTCTGAGAAAGAAATGAATTTAAGTGAACTCAATGAGATCTGCGGTACAATTGTGCGCCTCCAAGAGATTCTTGTTATATGCAAATCTCTACTTTTCTTATATATTCTTTTCTGTGGGGTGTTTAATTTACTGTTTGGTTGATGCAGATTAAAGAGAGTTTAAGAGACGATTTCAGATATAAATCTATGAAACACGAGGATAGGGAATTTTTGTTCAATATGTCCGAGTTGAAAGCTGCTGAACACGCAGCAGAAAGAGAGACCAGAGCTAAAAGGGACGAGCAGGTACTAGGTGGTTAATACATAATATGTAATGAATGCCTTTGAAATCATTAGAAGGTTGGTAAAATTGTGAAGAAAGAATAACTGTCGGTCCCCTTTCTTATAATTGATGCCTTGACATGATGCTCCAGTTAGTTCGTAGTGTGTAAATACTGTTTTTTATTTTATTTTATTTTATTTTTTAATAAACGCGGGTAAATACTGTTAAACTACTTCAAATCTAGGATTTTTGCTATATTGAAGCTTAGTTTGTTAGAGTGACTTCTATGACAGGCTCTATTGATGCCTTTTTCTGTTTTATGTTGGATTGAGTTGTTTAAGTCGGTTTATACTTGTATACAAATGTTCTTCTAGCAGCTCATTCTTAGTAACTTATTATAACATTGATTTTGACCAAATTAAAACTCAACTGATTTGCAGGAGAAGTTGCGGGAAAGGGAGCGGGAGTTGCGTAAAAGGAAGGAAAGAGAAGAACATGAAATGGAAAAAGTACGAATAAAGATTAGAAGGAAGGAGGCAGTTACTTCTTTTCAAGCTTTACTCGTGGAGAGAATCAAAGACCCGATGGTATAAAGCTTTTATTCTTCTTGCTACTGTTGTTATTTTGAAGATTAGTTTCCTTTTCAAAATCTGAAAGGATTAGAATATCTTTTAGGTGCTAGAGTTTTAAACAAGTCATTTTGGTTTCTTAATTATTGATATTTTCCCAGATTTATACGCATGATACGCATGATTCCATTTTAATGTTTCCTCCCATTTTGAATTGGACTAAACTGCATTCAGTTAATTATTAGGAGGGTTTGGTTCAACATAAAGAAAAATAGATGAATGCAAATGAGTTCCTCAAACTTTTGAAGGCTAAATTATGCTAGGAAATTTGCTGTTTATAATAAATTTCATATATTTTTTGTGTATGTTCTTAGGCATCATGGACAGAATCAAAGCCGAAGTTAGAAAAAGATCCGCAGGGACGGGCAACCAATTCTGTTCTTGATTCAACTGACATGGAAAAACTCTTCTGGGATCATATAAAGATGCTTCAGGAAGTAAGTGATAATATCTGATGTAATTGATATTTGTGACGTTCTCTCTATTGTTGCATGTTCTTAACTATATATGCGATAGACTGCCCCACTTGAATGGGAGTGAGGCTCTGTTTAAGTGTCACATAATTCTAGATGTGATTGAGAGTAAATTTGACTGTAATTCTTTGCATATACCAAGAATCATGATTTTAAATCTTATATAATTTTTTTGGTTTGCTATGTTTAGGGGTGCAGAGATGTGGAAATACTTGCAGAATAACTCAATGAGATTTGCGGTACAATTGTGCGCCTCCAATGAGAGTTGCGGTACAATTGTGCGCCTCCAAGAGATTGAAAAGTAAGGGTTTTAAGTTGATTTGTTGGTAAATAATGCAATTTCCAGCTATTTGTACCTGTAGCATCAAATTAGTAGGTAAATAATGAAGTGATTTGATTGTGTTGAGTTTTAGTGAATTTTGTTGAGTTTTAGTGAATTGATTTTTGGTCAAATTTTGACATTCGTGATCACCATTGTGCTAAGTGTCAATAGGAAATGTATCATAAGCTTTCAGATTGGATGATTTATACTAAGTGTCATAAGAAAATGTATTACAGGCTTTCAAAGTTCATTTTATATATTTCTTCAATCTTAACAAGGTTGCAAGAGTTCATGCAATGTTATTAGACTATATTCATTTTTATAAGATTTGATGCATAGCTAAGTGTCATACTGATTGCATGATAAACTGGACGAAGGATAGTTGAACAATGCATCTTATTTTAGTCAGAAAAATAGATAGCCTTTTGAAAAATTTGAATTGCCTTAAAATATGGAATAAGAGATTTTTGTAGGATTTAGTTAGGGGAGGCTCACACTGCTCTTTAAAGACTTAGCACATAGGATACACTGCATATGCTAATAAACACACTAAAGTGTGTAAATAAGTTCCTGTGCCCGAAACTGGAGGAACAAGTTCCTGTGCCCGAAACTGGAGGAACAGTAGATGTCTTCATCATTAGTACCAGGTTGGACTCATTACAAGTGAGATCCCGTCAGGGGAAAAGGTGGAACATCTAGCAAAATTGTGTATAATAAAAAGTTCCTGTGCCCGAAACTGGAGGAACAAGTTCCTGTGCCCGAAACTGGAGGAACAAGTTCCTGTGCCCGAAACTGGAGGAACAAGTTCCTGTGCCCGAAACTGGAGGAACAGTAGATGTCTTCACCATCAGTACCAGGTTGGACTCATTACAAGTGAGATCCCGTCAGGGGAAAAGGTGGAACATCTAGCAAAATTGTGTATAATAAAAAGTTCCTGTGCCCGAAACTGGAGGAACAAGTTCCTGTGCCCGAAACTGGAGGAACAGTAGATGTCTTCACCATTAGTACCAGGTTGGACTCATTACAAGTGAGATCCCGTCAGGGGAAAAGGTGGAACATCTAGCAAAATTGTGTATAATAAAAAGTTCCTGTGCCCGAAACTGGAGGAACAAGTTCCTGTGCCCGAAACTGGAGGAACAAGTTCCTGTGCCCGAAACTGGAGGAACAGTAGATGTCTTCACCATTAGTACCAGGTTGGACTCATTACAAGTGAGATCCCGTCAGGGGAAAAGGTGGAACATCTAGCAAAATTGTGAATAATAATAAAGTTCCTGTGCCCGAAACTGGAGGAACAAGTTCCTGTGCCTGAAACTGGAGGAACAATAATAATAAATGCATGTGTAATCCTAAATATTTAGTGAACAAAAAGTCTATAATAGAGCAGTTAATCCCC